GATGAGATACTGCTATCGAAACGAGAGCGCGCTGCCAACGGCAGAAGACAAGCTGCAGACAGGACGACTGGCTGACAAACGCGGGACAAGTTGAGAGACACCCGCAGCGCTGATGTACAAGCAGAAACTGTTAGAGTAAGTTGTTCTCTGTCATCCTGTTTTTCCTGTCTTCCTGACATACAACTGGGGGATATAACACTCATAAAACAAGGCTTTTTCCTATGCTTATGCTGCGTGGGGATGAAACTAGCTGAAGATGACGATGACACGAAAGGTTCTGCAAGAGTTGTCTGCTCAGTCTCCGCTGACCTTATCAGTCTTCTTTTGCCATCATTTGCCTAGTCAATTTGCAGCCTATTTTGTCATTTCTGCTACAATCTTTGGAGGTGGTTTGCTCTGCGAAGGCAAACAGACGTATTCGTGTGGACTGTCGACTCCACTCCTAGAATATTCGGCTTATCTGACGGTGCTGACATACTACTGGCCAGTGGTACTGCCGAGCAACTAAACGGTTAAGCCTCATTTTCACGCATAAAGAAATTGAGCCCCTCAGTTATGTCATTGGGTTGTCACTGGTTCCCCCATCGAACCATCATGAGGACCCGAATTTTTCGTACGCAGAGGAAGGGTCCAGCAGGAATTATCCAGCAAATCTACACTTAGCATCAGTAGTTGAATTCACAATGAATGATGTTACCCCAATAGGTTACATAAGAGGAAAGTCGATAAAGCAGGTTGGAGATGCATGAGTATTATCAAATTCGCAATATACCTTTCTATCGGGCTATTGAATTATCCAAAAGTCCAGGTGCATTAATGTCAGAAGGCCAACATTATCGGCATATTTTCTCAAAATTCGGATAGCAATGAAGTGCGAGTGTATTTGTATTAACTGCTAGAATTGCCCACTAGTATAGCAAGCAGCAGGAAGCGTCGTTTACAGTTCTAATTTGCTCTTCAAATGTCCAGGCCAACCCACAGCATTAATGTAGTGCACTTAGTTAGAGAGTGTACGAGGACATCCATTAGGATGTATTGTATTAAAATAATTTCTAAATAATTTATTATCAAAGTATTTCAATAGATTGAAAGCCTATTCTTCATTGAATTTCGTGGTGGACGTTCACTTATTTCGAAGATGAGGAGTCATGTTTGTGTGAGTCCACAACTGCGACGAAACCAACATGAAAAAGTAAGTATAAGCACTCACTACTTCGGTGGATGCTTTCCATAAATATATTATTTTGGAGATTTTGATAAATTTATAGCATGTAATTTATCTTTACAGGCAAACGATTGAAAAGAAAAATATCGTACACATTCACTGGCATTTCAAGGACACGGAAACTCCACAGACTAAACCGTCATTACCATCCCCAAATAAATTTTACAGACGAAATGCCCGCTTAGTTTATATAAAAGGACATGCTTACTATTGAACCTAGCAATTCTATTCAAATTAAGTATTCACGGAAAGGCCTGGCAGCAAGTGATGTTGAGGAAATCTTTATCACCTATCTGCCAGATCCACTTGACTTAAATCAACCGCAATTTTAATATTAAAAAAACGGGAAACCTAAATTGGTGTAGTTCAACAAGAATATAAGACGCATGACAGGACATCGCGTACTTGACTTTGTAGACTCTCTATCTTATAAAACGTCAACCAAAATTGTGAAATGTGTTTTCGATTCGAACAAATTACTTAAGTAACGTTGTTATACGGTGCAGCCTAATCTTAAGATATTTCCGTCACTTAAGGATGCCGGCTTCCGAACAAGTTGCTTTCACGGCAGGGCAGAGCGGGACAAGTGCGTTTTGTTAGCGGTTGGTGAACGTTCGTCAACGAGTGTCAAGCTGCTTTCTGACCGCCTGCAAAAACATATTCTCTAAAAGAAATGGCTGCTTAAGGGGTATGTATTTTTCTCAGGGATTTTTACTGCTATTTGTATAAAACTTGCAAAAATACCATCTTGGGCACTAGTTTGGCAGAAAATTGCGCCTCTTTCAAATTTTATCTTTGAAGAAAAAGTCTCTTTTGGTTTTAAAAAGTCTTTAATTTGCCGAATAATCCTCAACTCGACCAGCAGTTACACTTGAATTCACGGTTTCCAAACTGCAGGCGTTATAAATTCTGCCGGTAGGGTATCCTTGTGGGGTGTTCGAAAGGTCCTTATGTATTATAGCTTCTTACTTAAGTGCTTTAAGTAGGTTGAATTACCCACAATCTTCCAGTTTTCTAGATAAAATCCGTCGGTCCAGCGGGGATTTGATGAAGGCATTGAACGGCAGAGTGGTCCTCCGAAGGTTACCGCATACCATAACCGCTTAAGTGGGTATACTAAGCGAAATTTGTCTTTTAAAGTAACCACGGGAATAACCGCCTACTAACAAATATTAAGTAGGGTGATTTACCCAATCTTCCCTCTTTCGCACTTCGTTAACCTTTTTTCTAGTTGGTGTTGGTGGTTCCACTAGAAAATGTACCTCAGTGACCTTGTCCGAGGTAAGGTCACACTCCTCCCCCATACACGCGTTCGCCGTTGGTCGGGCGGGGGGTTTGCGATGACATTAAAGCCTATTTCAGTGTCTTCCCCCAAGGTTTGAGTACGCGACCCAATTTGTCCTCGTAACTTTTTTATTTTACAAAAATATTGTGATCTACTTTGTACCCTGACATGCCCCGCCCATCCTCTCCCCTAAAACCAGGTGCTTGTGAGCCTGAGGGGCGCGCTTCACACGTTCCCCAGGCGGCCCCACAAGGAATCCCTACCATTCTGTCTTAGGATAAACAAAAATTTCCCTACGGTGTGAGGTAGAAGTCATATGGTCCTCATAACATTTTGCTGTTAATGTAAACTTAGCTGTATAATTTGTAAGCAGATATAGTAAATGGACACATTCGTTGTTTTATGAAGGCGCATTTCATGGTCGTAAAAATCTCATAATTACAAACTATTTTTTAAACAAAAGGTACCCTTCCATCCGATATGCAATTTTAAGAAGGCGCAATTTTCTACCAATCGAGCACAAGAAAAATTATTTTGTTCAATTTTTTATAAAGTATATTTGCATATATAAGAGCAGTGAAAATCAATGAGAAAAATACCTACTACTTGAGTAGCCATTTGGCAACAGTAGCTTATGTAGGCCCACCCATTAATCCCTATTCCCTGCATGTTTTTCTACGAAATCGGTGGTTATAGGGTTTTATGGGTGGGGAATTAGGAGACACAGTGGAATATACTTTAATAAATGCTATATGCATTTATTTTACTGTATTTATATGTGTTGTTGATTTATATCCGTAGATTTTCCTAATTTCTATTATCCTTTAACTTATTGCGGAAAAACCCGATTAGCAAATTGCAGGTTTCTTGAATTTTCCGAAAAACTGAAATGGTGGTTAGGAGGTCGTCTACATTAACTTACCTGAGGTCAAACTTACCGTTCTGGAGTTAGATTGGTATAGTCCGCGGCGCGAAGCACCGCGCACACCTTCAATTTACATGCGGAACAACCTATTCCCAGCGGCCGCGGGAAGCAATTTTGACTACCTTTTTTCATTTACACTTCTAAAAATTTTCCTCTCTGCCTATCCTATTTCCCCACTCCCTAAAAGTATATAACCACCGTTTTTGCAGGACAAAATGCTAGGACTATGTGTATATGAGTGGGCCTAGATAAGCTACTTTTTCCGCATTTATTGCAAGATATACTTTTTAAGGCGGTCAAAAAGATGCTTGTCCTGAAGTTACTGATGCATATTAACGTGAGATTGTACTGTAATCAGTATTAAAACCACAAATAATATGGTCTAATCGAAAACACATTTCAGGATTTCGGTTGAACTTTTTATGAGATAGGGAGTTTACTGTAATTGTTGGAGAATACTTATGGGAAATATAGATTAAAAATATTTCCAAACATTACTCGATTTTTTTCGCATATTAAACATTACTGTGCCTACGCCGTTTTTCCTTTGTACGAGCACACATTATGTAGTTCTAAAACTTAACTCCACTCACGTAACACGCATTTTCACGTTTTCGACATTTCCACTTTTCCTCAGATACTTGTCTTTTTCAAATCTACGAAATATTACTTGAAATACGTATTTTTCCTCTTCGTTTGAACAGAGGTCATCGATTAGTTGGTCGTTTCCGTGGATGTGTTCGGATTGGCTTTATATTAATTGGTGGCTTTTCATTGATTTGGTCTTATATTATGAGGTAGGTCAGCAATTGTATAACTAAGCGATTAGTGGTCGTCGTTAGTCTTTTTTCTAATTCAGATAGTCAAGTCAAAATAAAGTAGCTAAGAAGCAATAATTCACAGATCAACGACTAGCAACTAACCAGGAAAGGCATGTTCATATGGTACTCTTGGAAGACGGCCAGCGTACCAAAAACAGCAGCTCTGAAAGTGATTTCATTTTTTTCTTTGTTAAATTTGTCGATAACTATACCATCTGTTCGCCAGAACATGGTTTCTGGATCCCAGCAGGCAAGTAAAGGCTCCTCTGGTATGATCAAGCAGGCTGGCAGCCTAAGTAAAAAAAAAGTTTACAGGATGTTATCTCAGGCGTTTCAGTCAATGACTTCGGTATTCACTCATTTAAGCCCTTTAAAAACAAAGTGACTGATTAGTTTATAAGCCTCGGCTGTAGATAAAATGGCGTCCTTTTCTCTATTTTTATGATGCACTTTGATGTGGAATCGGTATTTTGTTAAGGTGTTGAAGAAGAGACCTAAAGGCCTGTTGAGTTCTAGCAAGAAGTTCTTTTTTAGTCTATTTTCGTCCGTCCGCAGTTGCGGGCAATTAGACGATGCAGTCGGAAACAGGAGAAGCACGAACACTGCTGCTGTATGAAGGCAATATTTTAAAATGAGTTGGACTGAAAGGGCACTGTCCATCTGCCAACCTTAATAGCGGCAGCTGCGCGGCAGCTGCGCGTTAGCTGGCGGAGTTCAAGAGTGAGCCGCAAGTCAGAACAGGATGACTGCATTCCGATAGCGATCAGTGAGCGTTTATCAACGAATGTCAATATTACCGAGTTAAACTGAAGTCAACGGGTCCGTACCTCTGTTTTAGAGTGTTTAACTTCTGATCAACAGGTTGAGGATTCAAGCCTCGGGTGGTGCACCACCCGGCGTTAGGTATGATTGGCTGATGACGGCTAATTAACCAGAAATGGTCATTCCGAACTCCCTTGTCTTTGCCGGCGAGGTTCATCTGTCTACACTATAAGCCGTTGTGTGGCAGCTGGCGGGGCTTGAGAGTAAGCCCTACGACACAACGGGTTGAGTCAGTTTAATTAGCAACTGGTGAGCGTTCATCAACAACCGAAAGGAACGCTAGTTTCGCAGCGACTTTGCACTATCCCACTATTTGTGTAGAATTCGTTTACTCGCTTCATGTTTGGATCACGATGTCTAGCACTTTAAATGCGCACAAAGCAGGATATTTTTGTTTGCTTTGTTCAAAAACCTGACTTCAGGGAACCGTGGTCCAAAAACCTAATGTAAACACCCATCTTCCAAGAGGACATTCCTGCATCCACAACCTCAATGTCAGACGGACGACAGTCCATGGGGAACTCAACAGCTATAGAGGTCTTGCACTGTGTTTATCGATACTTTCAAAAGCTTGCAAAATCCTACCGACAAAGGTGATTTGGGCAACGTTGCTCTAACTGTTTGACATACACCTGGCCTCAAAATATTTGAGTGATGAGGAACATAGCCAACGCCAACCTTGTAAAATAAAACATGCTTACTATTACGAAATAAGTAGACAGAGGTTCAAAACAAACAAGGGCGTAATGTTGTCCATAAGCTATTGCTACCTCTGAACCCATCCAATTCGTCAGTACCACAGGAATTAACCATAAAAATGTATCTTCTCGGCTATGGGTGCACGCAACATTGGTTGGGCTTTTGAAGCGTTTGTGGACAGTCTGACTGACTTAGCCGCGTCCTTCACCCAGAAGTTACATCCTGTCTGACCCCATAACCTGACAGCTGGAAGGTGGCATCACCAGCGCTGCCTACGTGCGGCTTTATTAAAAATCTTGACAAGCTTTTAAGCCTACAGTCGAAGGTGTACTTAATTAGAATGCTTAAGACGATTCAAAATGGTTAAAGGCCTGGTCAAATACAAAACTGTCTGGATAGATTTTTGAAG